TCTTGGTCACTTCTCTGGATCCACTCTAGCTCCGTGATGAATCAAAGGGCAGCAGCTCGCCCTGTCCTGGCTGCGATAACCATCCGCCACTCCTGAAGCCTCCCAGGTGGCTCCAGCTGCTGTCCAAGAAGGGATGAGGAAGAGGTTCAGGCTGTAGGAGGTGCTGGAAGGAGGGAGGAGGAGGGATGGAAAGACTCCCAGGAGAAGAGACCCAGCAAATCCTAGTGTCATCTAAACCTGATGGGACTAGAAACCTAAATGCTACCCCATGCTCCCAGCACACATTTTCCCTCACTCTTACAGGAGGAGTCAGGGTGCTGGTTGACGACCATTACCATCCCTTACAGCCCTTCGCAGTCCACAAAGCACTTCACCATTCAGTGTTCCACTTGGTCCTCCAACAGCCGTAACTGTGGGAGTGGGGGTGGGAGGCTGTGTAGAATAGAGGCTTTGGCATTAGAGCTTGGTCTGGTCCTGGCTCTGCCATTATCTTCATCTCTCTTTCACAGATGAGATTTAAAGGTTGCTAACTTGCTTCAGATCCACAGGCTGTTAGCAGTGGAGCTAGATTGGGATCCCAGCTCCTGATGTCTAGAAGGAGGCTTCTGGAAGAGGGAAGGGAGAAGCAGCATCTGCAGGGCTTTGGTTAGGTGCTGGTTAAAGTCCTGCTCAGAAATCTGTTTGTTTCTGTGTACTTAGGATCTGTTTGTTTTTATTTGGTTTCCTAGTAAAAGATTTTTTTTGAAAATTGCCTCCCTTTTTGGCTGAACTAAAGGGGAAAAGTACTCATCTACTCATCTATACCTTGGTTCAGGCTAGATGTTCTAGGAGCCAGGTGTGGGAGGAGTCCAGAGAGTGCAGACTGTGGGCGGTTAGACCCTTCCTGCTGCGGGCAAGGATCTGGCAGGCTTGGAACTGGATCTAGAGTCTTCTGCACCAGCCAGAGTGGGGCTGTTGAGGAGGGCTGTTGTTTCCAGCTGGGGCTTTGTCAGCCCCGCCTTCCTCACCCTCTGCCCTAGAGAACGCCGTCTACAGAGGGATGTATAGGTCCCCAGCAGAGTGGCAGAGTTGAGCTTTGCCAGCCAGAGACAGGTGATGCTACTTTGTGAGGAGGAATGGGCTTAAGGCTCTGAGGCCCTTTGGCCTGGGAAGCATCAAAGGTAGCCGTGGGCCAGCAGTGGGGTGAGGGAAATGGAGAGGCTTGTGGGACTGGAGGAGGAGCCTGGTTCACACTCCATCCTGACTGGCAGCCTGAAGACCTGGGTTCTGCCCTTAGGCAAGTCCCTTCCCTTCTTTGGGTCTCTTTATCTGTAAAGTGGGGATTGTTTACAGATACATAATCATACACTTGCCTCTCAGCTGGTTTATCTGGAAATATTTATGTTGTGTTAATTTTCTGGTGACCGTGACATGGGATAATTCTGGTAGATGGTGTTTAGGGTGGGCCTGGCTCCACAGTTGGTAGGGTGCATACTGATGGTGAGTACAGCATCCTAAGGGGCTGGGCCCACTCAGGAGGCCATGCAGCCTTCCCAAGTAGAAGCTCCAAGAAAGCTGTAGCTCCTGATGCCTCAAAGTCTGTAGGTATTTGGGTAGGTGAGGAGCCAAATTCAGGATAAAGGGTTTGGCTCAAAAAAGGTGATGCTCCAGGCTGAGGGCTGATGAATGTGTAATTGGGCTGGAGTCAAGTAGTGGGGGTGCAGGAGTAGGGCCCTATCTATAGTGGTATCTATAGACAAAGGTATTTGTAGGGGCCTGGGCTTTCCCAGTGCTTGCTGGGTTGAACTAATTAAGTCCTGGTCCCGGACCAGTCTGTGCCAGAGTTCTGGATCCCTCCCTTCCTTGGCATCCACCATCTCCCCGATTTATCAGTCTCCAGGCCACAGTGTTTTCTTCTGGGTTCCCTTGTGCCTTCTCAGTGTGGGGCTATACCATAACCTTTCCAAGCCTGGGGGTGTTGCTGATGGGGCCAGAGGCCAGCCCTGCTTGTGTCATGCACAGTCTGTCCCCTAGATTAGTGGTGAGCCCCTTGAGGGCAGAGTCCAGGTCTGAATTGTTCCTGGGCTCCAGTACCCAGCATGGAGCTTGTGATCCTTGGGGCCTGACTAGCAGGCCCAGCCCCTGCTGGCCTCAGTTGTTGGGCTGGCCAAGGTACCACGAGCTTGAGTTGGCCCTTCTCCCTCACAGGTGGCACGGGTTGGGGTGGGGGTGGGTGCTGAATCAGAGTATATGGCTCCTTGTGTCCAGCTTCCTTTTCCTGGCTGGCCCAAGGCTTGGGAACAGTGGCTGCCTTTCTGGGGCAGTCAGGGCACCTGGCCAGAGTATGCTCTGTCGGGCATTGTCAGCTCTTCAGCAAGCCCCGGTGCTCCTCTTAACCTAGAGAAGGCCCCAGGTTATTGGTGTTGTTCTTGGCGGAGCACAGGGCCCCTCAGCAAACAGGGAGGTGAGTGTGCACCGGGTCTGGGCCTGTTTGTGTTGGCCTCACCAGGCGGGGGATTAGCTCAGCTGGGCTGCTAATTGCCTCCGAAGTGCCGGCCTGGATGCTGACAAGGGCTGGGCCTCCAGGCCCCTCCTCCCCAGCAGGCATTATGCCAGGCTTGGGGGCCTGGCCCAGAAGGGCCCCTTCTCTCTCCTGTCAGCGCCTGTTTGGCCTAGACCCTTGAGATATGGGCAAGGGGTCACCAGGGCTGGCGGCTCAGGAAGGAGTTGTTGGGGGATGCCTATGAAGTCATTGCCTGGGCCAGGCCAGGCAACACTATCCTCCCCTCCCCCACATCTCTTAGACATCTCCCATCGCCTTCTTGAGTCAGATGCCTTCTCCTGAAGCTCAGCACTTTCTTCTCTTACTAGGAAGCTGCTGGGCTCCTATGCCCAGGTGCCCTGCAGGCCCTCAGCACCTACCTCTTTATTCTTGTGTCTGTGTTCCTGTGGCTGTCCTATCCTCTGCTTTCTCAGCCCTTCTCAGTTGTCTAAAATCTACACCTTCTAGCCTCTTTTCCTGTGTTCTCTGGCCCTTCCTTGGCCCACGATCCATCTTGTATTCTGTCTCTGGTCTCCTCGACTTCCCTTGGAGCCCTAGTTGTCAGGAAGAGGCTGCAAAGGAGGTCTACTCAGCCTTCCCAGTGACCTTCAGGGCTGAATTCTGAGGGCAGCTCTCAGGGATGGATCTGGATACAGCCTCTCTGCGAGCTGACTGGCTTGGGAGCCCCAAAAGTCTCCATCCTCATAGGCAGAGAGCCTCCTGGGCCTCGCATGTGTACTTCCTACAGCTCTGACTCTCCCACCTCCACTGCTGACTGCTTTCCTTGGCCCCTGCTCCCTGTCCTCGCCCTGCTTCTTGCCCACATGGGGACCTCATTTCAGCCTGTCCTGCTGCTGCCTTGCTTGCTGCTGCTGGATATCTGGCCCCTGGGATTGTCTGTCTCTTGCCCTGAGATATCTGCTTGCTTCTGACCTCTGGGATTGGGGCCAAAGTAGAACTGTAGTCTTGGGGCACCTGCCTTTCAGCCCCTAACCTTTCAGTCCCACATCGTCTCTGCTTTCCTTCTTGTTTCATCCCTCTCAGGGCCACCTCAATCTTAAAGCTAGCTTAACTGCCTTCTACATTTCTGAGAAGAGAATAATGATAAAATAATAGCTGTGATATGTGATCTAATATCTCCAAGAAACAGGTTCTATTATTATTGGAAGCCCGATTTGAAGTTGGTATGCAGGGAGCAGCCTCATATTGTGAATGAAGAAAATTAGTATCAGAGAGGGACAGTGAGTTATGCAAGGTTCCATATAGCGAGGAAGCGGCAGGGCCAAGATGCCAATCTAGGTCTGATTGCAAAACCTGGGTCCATTTCACAGTTCTAGAAAATGGTTGTACACAGACAACTTCACCTCTTTGTTCTGCCATCTTGTACCATCTATCACCAGTCCCTTTCTCTCTACCTTTGACCCTGATTTGAGAATGAGGTGTCTTTTTCCATCTACTTGTAGTCTAGGCCCATTCCTTACTTCTCTTTCCCTCCCCAGTTCTTCACAAATTCGTGTGTACCACTGCTATCCTGAAAGGACTTTGCTTCAGCACTTCACCTCACGAAACTTCTAGAAAGCCAAGCACATAGCAGCCTTTGTCCAGGCTGGTATGGATTTGTTGCAGTGGGGGCAGGGACAGGTCATGGCCCTCCTGGTGAGGACGAGGACTTCACTAGACTGAGGTTCCACAGACACTCCCTTACTTCCCCTGACTTCAGTCACATGGAGTTCTCCATCCAGACTTCTCATCCTGGTGGCCCCAATCCTTGGGTTTACTTCTTGCCACAGCCCTTGGATCCCCACACCCTTGGGCATGAAGTAAGTTCTTTTCCTTTTGTCCCCCACCTCCTCAGTTGTCACCCACTTCACCAGACTTCTACATTTCTGAGAAGAGAATAATGATAAAATAATAGCTGTGATATGTGACCTAATATCTCCAAGAAACAGGTTCTATTATTATTGGAACCCCCTTTTGAAGTTGGTATGCAGGGAGCAGCCTCATATTGTGAATGAAGAAAATTAGTATCAGAGAGGGACAGTGAGTTATGCAAGGTTTGTGGCTCTGGGGACAGGACTTGGGGTAGGGGAGAGTGGCTCAGCCCTGTCTGGACAGGGAGGGGTCTCCACGGCTTCCTTCGCCTCGGTCTAGTCTCTGCCAGTGAGGGATAGTATTTTTCCTGGTTCTGAGCAGACAGCTGTCATTATATTCATGCCTTCTCCACATCAGCGCTCAAGAAGGGTCCTAAGACCTTGACTCAGGCCACAGTTTAGGTAGGTGAATGTGGCTCAGTGAAGTGCATATATTGCCTCAGTGTGTTTCAGGTTAATTCCAGACAGCAAGTAGTAGGTGGGTTATGCAGAACGAAAGAGGACAATGAGGGGCACCATATCTAGAATTTGCGGCTATTTACCTGCTTTTGCCATGTTGTTCCCCAAGTCTCTTCTTCCTCTCCTACTAAAGAAAGCCACCACCACAATTGCAAGATAAAGAAATAATCATTTTATCGTGCATCAGACTATTTCATGGGGATGTTTCAATGGCAATGCGCCTAGTATAAAAATTGGAGGATGGGTTAGGGGCAGCAAGAGGGTAGCAGCATCCAGAGTTGGGGCCTATCCAGCCCTAGGCCTCAGAGGACATCACCTTTGCGTTGTGTCAACACTAGTGGAGAGGGTTTCAGGCAGGAATTGGACCCTCTGGCCAGCTTCCAGCGTGGGTAGGCTTTATCAGGCCTGTGCTCATTCCTTCGCTTTATTCGGGACAGTTCAGAGCTAGGTGTGTCCAAGGAAGCTCCATTTTCCAGTGGCTTTGGATCCCTTTGGCCTGTGGTGGTGGTGGTGGTAGGGCTGGGCAAGGGTTCCTAGAATCTAGTCTGCTTCACTGAGGTTACATCCTTCAGAGTCCTGGGAGGATTAGCTTTGAGGAGTCCCCTGGCATGCAGAGAGGTGGAACCCACAAACAGGCACAGACCCTCTCACTTCTTCCTGGAGCAGCGCCCACTATACCAGCATCCATCCTGGACCCTCATCCTCTGGCTCTGGGGACAGGACTTGGGGTGGGGGAGAGTGTGGCTCAGCCCTGTCTGGACAGGGAGGGGTCTCCACGGCTTCCTTCGCCTCGGTCTAGTCTCTGCCAGTGAGGGATAGTATTTTTCCTGGTTCTGAGCAGACAGCTAGATGCCCGCCAGAGGAGCAGTGAGACTGGGCAGCTGTGGGACACTTAGTCTGCTCAGCTTTTATCCATATCAGAGCCTATGTTCCCCAAGATTATCCCCACATTTGAATGTAGCTGTTGCATCTCATTTGGCTTTGGCCATCTTCTTGGAAGGACATTGAGTAGAGAGCTTGGCTGTGGCCAAGGGTGTTGGCCTTCTTCCTGAGGGAGCCAGCGTGAGGAGGCCCAGACCACAGAGTCTAGAGGAGAGCTTCTGCGGACTGGAGCCTGCATTCAGACACTGAATTCCAGAGCCAAGAGCTTGGGGGTCTGAGAACCTCCTGTGGGGATCCCAGAGCTCAAGGCCTCAAATCAGGAGCCTAGAGCCTCAGCGTGGGGACGGCCTGGAGGCTGGGCTGGCAGCGAGTTTCTCTGGTGGTTGGGAGTCTACCTGAGAAGCAGGTCTTGGGTCAGCCCAGGTCTTGATGTATGGGTGTTGGGCTGGGCTCCTAACGGCTTGGCTGGTGTGAGGGCCACATTTGCGCTGCTGGGGCGTCTCTGGGGACTCTGCTTCGGTACCCATGGTACCTAGGGGCAGGGCTGCCTCAGCCACTGCCCCCCTGTGGGCTGTAGCTTAGCCTGTGGTCTGTGGCTTCTGCTGCTTTCTGGCTTCTCTTCCTCTAGCCACAGCCCTCTCCCCAAGGCTCAGACCCCAGGAACCCTGCAGTTGCCAGGCCTTTGGGTGCAGAAGCCCAGGCAGAGCCTTGGCTGGAGGACTCTTCTGGCCCTGTCTCTACATCGGGCCGGCTCTGACCTGGCTGAACATTTTCCTCTCCCCTATAACATGGGTACCAGCATCCCTGTCTTGTCTGCCTCCCAGGACTGTTGTAATCATACAGTGAAATGCCCAGTACACGGGATCTAGAACATAGTATTTGCTTAGTAAATTTGGTTCAGTAGTGAAATAATGGTCGGGGGAGGGCTTTTGCACATGGCCTTTTGTGTGCGTGCGTGTACGCACTTCCCATTGTTAATTTCACGAAGCACTGGGAGGAGGAGACTCACACGAGGGGCATCACTGCCAAGGCCCCACTGGGATCACTAATCTGAGACGGCAGCCTATACTCCTGCCTGGGAGGCACCCGGGAGTGGGAGTTCCCTCTTTGAGGGGAGGCTGGGTGGGCTGGGCTCTGGGGTAGGACTGTAACCTGCTCTTGCCCTGGTCTCGCCTGCTCTTCCTGCCTGGAAGGTCCCCCAGAGCTTGGACCTCCAATTGCTTGTAGAGGGCTGATAATTTCAGCCCTTTGCCCTTTTTAACCTGGTATCTGCTCATTCCCTTTCCAGGGGCTTGAGAAACAGGGCTACCAGACTGAAGCTGCCAGGGGTCTGTGTGTATGCGTGGGGGTGCAGCTTCCATCCAGATGGCACCTATGTCCCCCTGCCATTGGGCCACCCAGATGGCAGGGTCAGTAGGCATGTGGCTGTAACACTCCTGTTACCACCTTAAGTCTGCAAGTAGAAAAATGGTTACAGAAAACAACTGAGTGGTCAGCAGTGGCCACACGTGGATAGCCAGAGGCATGAGCAAGGTCCCTTTGGTCAGTGGCAGCCACAAAAGACCCAGGCTTTAGGGGAGGCCCGTCGGTGCCCTTGGGGTCACCTGCCTGGTTTCAGCAATAAATAACATGAGGACCCAAAAACCAAACCAAAACAAAAAATACAACCAGTATCTTTTGGGGTGGGTGGTGGGGGACTGTTTAAATTATTGGCCTTCCCTGGACCTCTGGGTGGTTGCTGGGCACAGGGCTGGGCGGCAGTCACCGGCATGTGTGTAGCTCCACAAGCCGTTGGCACTGCCGGCACTTGACGAAGCAGCACCAGTGGAATTTGCAGCTGCAGCGCTCAGCCAGCTCAACCTGTGCTGTGTGGAAGCCACGGCCACAGCACAGCAGCTCACAGCCGTCGATGGCCTTGGACGTCTTGTTGCACGTGCGTCCCTTTGTGCCCAGCACACCACTGCGCATGTCCTGCTCACAGAAGTCTGGGCTGGGCTCCAAGTACACCAGGTCCTCATCAGTGTGGGGCTTGAACTGTGCATTGCGTGGCACCAGTGCCCTGGAGGAGCCCACACGGCGTGGCTCCACCTCTGTGGCACCATCAAACTTCTCCTTCAGTGCATGGCCCACCTGGCGGAAGGGCGGCACGGCTCGCCAGCATGTCTTTACCTCGCAGGAGCCCGACACCCCATGGCACTTGCACTCCACCCGCATGTGTGTCAGGATAGCCTGCAGGGGACAGGGAGGGGAGAGGGGCCATCAGGAGATGACAGAGGCAGTTGGGGAGGGACTGAATGGGGGCATGGATGGAGGGATGCCGCAGAATTGGGAAAAGACTTAGTGTCATGTTAAGTGCCTGTTGTATGCAGTTGTGGGCTGGTAAGCTGTGTTGGGGACAGTTGAAGAAGATACTATCCCTGCCCTTGGGTTGATGGAGGAGAGACATTCTAAAGGACAGTGTCATATGAAAGAGTGACAGAGACATGAGGAAGAACCTGGCTGCATTGGAGCTGCACAGGAACCTTGAAGAATAGGTATCAAGGAGGCAGATGGTGGCACAGTTAGGGTCATGCTCTTTGTGGCAGCACTGAGAAAGGTTCAAATCCTAGTTGTACGTGTGTGTATGTGTGACAGATGGGGACACACACCTGTGCACATGTACATGCATGGGTGGGGCATGTTGGGTGCCGCTCACTGTGTCTGACACCTCTCACTTGTGTGCTTCCCTACCCTGCCACCTGTGCTCCACTGGCCTGTAGGAGGTTCCTGGTGTGTCTGAGAGCCTGAGTAAATGTTTTCCCAGGGGCGTGTGGGTGGAAGAGGGTTTTGGTGGCCCTACTGAGCCCTCCCCTGCCCCAGTGGCGATGGTGGCGGGGAAGCCGCACACTACCTTCCTGCCGGCCTCGTTGTTGTGGAGGTTCATGAGGGCCCGGCTGGATGAGGCCCCTTTGCTTCTCTCCCGCACGTCCACGAAGGACTGTGAGAAGGCCACGCCGTAGGCGATGTTGTCCGAGCATCCTGACCACTGGAAGCCTGGGTGCCATGGGCACAGGGGCCGTGGTGAGGGAGGGCAGGGCCCGGCACCTGCCCTCCCACTTGCCTTCCCCGCCTCCTATGCTTACCCTGTGGGCTGACCCCGTGTACTGTCCGGTCACAGCCGCACTTTTCCAGCTCCCCACTGCTGCATGCCCGTGTCACTGCAAAGGCCACACCTGCCGAAGAGATGGCATACACGAAGGCCGCCTCCCGAGTCCCTGTGGGAGGCAGAGGCAGAGCTGGATCCCTGTACCCTCCATTTGAGATGGTCCTGAACCATGGTGTCCCATGGAGAGCCAGGCAGGCCACTCCCATGACCTTACCAATGGCTAAACACGCTCCCTGCATGCCAGGCCCTGCTCTCTGGGCTGCCCATGTCCTGACCATTTCATCCTCACAGTACCCTGCAGGGTAAGGACTGTTATCACCCCATTTCACAGATCTGGTGGCTTGTCCCAGATGGCGCAGCACATAGTGGTGCAGGCAGATGACCCCACTTCTGTGTGCCTATCTACCAGGGCTGCTGTTCTCACAACCTCTCCTGAAGATTAGTGATGTTAACAGCATTTTATGGGAGACAAGACAGGCTTGGAGAGGTGAGCTGACTAACCTAGAGTATAGAACTATGGTGTAGCAGGGCCAGACTGTCAACCCAGGTCTGGCTTCTTCTAACATCTTGTTCGTTTTGTGCCTATTCCCCAGCTGGACCCCCTGGGCTCTGAATGGGGCAAGGGGTGGGGGACTGTCCCCCCAGCCTGATGATCCTGTGCTAGCCCTTCCCCCTGATGCTGGGCCTGATTCTGAGAATGTCTTGCTTCCTCAGAATCTTTAAAAATAAATCATAATAATGGCTCTTCCTGTTTACTGTGACCATGGCTGATGAGGGGATGCCCTCTACCATAGGAGCTTTATCTGTGCCCATTTCACAGATGGCACAGTGCAGGTTTGGGGAGGGAAAGTGATTTGGTCCCAGTCACCCAGCCAGGAGGTGACAGAACCAGGATTCAACACGGGCCTGTTGGCCTCTGCTGCCTGTCTTTCCCTTCTACCCCATGACTTCTCAGTGGTTCTCTTTTGGAGTCTGCCCTCACCCCCAGCCTGAATGGGTGTTTTTATCTTCCTAGGAACTGTGCCTCAGGGTGTAGCTGCTGTGGAGCCTCTTTCTGGGGGTGTGGATGGTGGGAGAGAGCTTGTGTGTGTGCCTGTGTGTGTACGTGCGCACGCATGGCTGGCTGGGTGTGTGAGCAGACAGGCCCTGCTCCTCTCCTGGGCCCTGTGAGGGCCTCTGTGTGCCCGTGACTGTCCTTCTGTCTCCACTGGAGTGTCTGTCCGCAGGAGTGGAGGGGGCAGGTTTTGGCCCCGTGGTTGGCAGTTACCTCTGTGACACCCAGGCCTGAGCGCCTGGCCGCCCCAGGGAGCAGTCACCGTGGTCAGATGGAAACAATCACCTCCTCTGTGCCCGTGTCGGTGGAACAGCAGCGGAAACTGAGTGCTGGGGTGGGGGGCAGCTCGGGCCCTGTGGCTCAGGACACCCTGTTCTTGGTTCTACCCTTGTGCTGGGGTTACTGCCCACCACCCCCTCTCTCCCACCAGCCCTCTGCCCTGGCCTGGCCATTTTGGGGGCTTGGCTGGAGCTACAGTGGCCTTGACAGTCCGAGATGGAATCCTCTCCAAGTTAATCGAGGTTAATAGCAGGATCATGGTGGTTGGTTTTGTGCTGTGGCCGCCCATAGAGAGACGACTTTAGCTTTTGGTATTTCTGGTATTTCCAGGCTTGAACCAGCACAGATCTTTGCCCCAAAGACCAAGGGGGAAGGTAAAGAAGGACATAGGGCATACGGGTGGCCCTGGCTCTTGGCCTGGTGTGGTCCCGTTACCTCTGCCTCTCTGGGCTCTCAGGCAGCGCCTGGCCCAGCCTGAGCTCTGGGCTTGCCTCCTCCCTGGTGCTGATGGCCCTGGGGTGCAGGGCTCCCTGTGAGGTTGCTCAGGGAGGCCTCTGCCTCATCCCGCAAAGCAACAGCCATCTGCCAGGACTCCAGGTGTCCCATGCCCTGGCCTCAGGACCAAGGACACTATGGTTTCCTCATCTTGGGAGTGGGCCTGAAGGAAGGGATTCTGGAGGGAAGATAATGGTAGGAAGAGCTAAAGCTTAGAGAGAGCTGACTCTGCTGGGCACAGTCGAAGCACTTTACATAATTTATATACTCTTTGTAACAATCCTATGAATTAAACTTTTAATCCTTACTTTGCATATGAGGAAACTGAGGTACTGAGTGGTGAAGTAATGTGTCTAACAATACCCAGCCAGGACATGTGGAACCAGGATTTGAATTCGGGCATCCTGGCTCCAGAGCTTTCAACGGGGACATGACCCTGTCTCACGGAGCCTGGGCCCAGGAATAACTATGTGGTCGCCCTCCTCCCACCTCCAGCATGTGGATCCAGGAAGGGCTTCTTCAGGTCTGCCTTAAGTCTCCTGCACCGCAGGACAGGTCCCGTTCCTTTTGTGGGATCTTTACTGGGGAAAGTGAGTGGTTGTTGGGCTGTGCTCAGTGAAGGAGGCCCCAGAAGGCCTGGAGAATGTGGCCAAGCTCTTTGAGCTAATGTGCCCCTCAAGCCAATGGCAGTGGCTCCCCCAACTTGTCTAACTGGCCTGGGGTCTCAGCCCTTAGACTCCAGTGCTATGGCCCCTCCCGATTCCTCCCTCTGCCTGGGTGCCCAGCCTGGAGCCTTGCTCACCTAGTGGGGCATCTGGCAGAGACTGCGGAGACAGCGAAAGGATTGTGGCACACGTGCAAGCATAGCAGGGGAGAGTTTCCCAGCGACATGGTAGATAGCTGCTGCCTGGTCAGCGGCAGGAGGAAGACAGTCCAGGCTTCATCCTCCTGGGACAGCAGAGCTGGCCTGGGGCAAGGCAGAACCCTCTAAGGTGCCTTTTCCCTAAGGCCATTTGCCCCGTTCACACCCAACTCCTTTCCACCTGCTCTTTTTCTTCCTAGAGCACCTCCTTCCCTGGCTCACTGGTCTAAATCCTGTGTTCCCTGGGTTCCACCTCCATGCCACCCTTTCCAAGGTGCTAAGGCTGCCCAGGGCTGGGAATTCAGAGTTGTCCTGTGGTAATAGTCACCCTTTCTGAGGGCCTGTGAAGTGGCCAGGGCCTTTCTGTATGCTGACTCTAAGGTTCATGACAACCTTAGTGACCAGCTTTCTCCAGCTCTGCTCAGTGGAGGAAAAAGTGAGGCTCCTTGGCTTGTGCGGGGTCCCTTAGCCCGTCAGCAGCCAAGAGGGCATTGGAACCGAGGCCTGTCTGACTCAGGTTCTTCTGAGCACATCATGCGCGATGTCTCCCCCAGATGTGGGAAGGAAGGATATTCAGGCAGGAAGGAGTGTTTGGAGGGGAGCCAGCTGAGGCTAAGTTGGGCTGGAGAGGAAGCCATGGGCATGGTGATCCCCTGGGCATAAGGCGGTGTCCTGGTGGAAGTGCCATTCCGAGCATAACTCACGTGTTTCCAAAGCAGAGCCAGCGGGAGTCCTGGGGGTAGTACAGGATAGACGCTGGCCTCTGAGAAAGACACTGTCCCTGTTCTCTCCCTATCCCTGCTCCCAGCCTGCCTTTCCTCCCAGTTTCCTTTGTTATCTTACCTGCAAAAGCTCACCTTTTCTTGAAACCACCTCCAGGAAGCCTCTATGGATTTAAGAGACAGTGTAGGACAGAGGAAAGAGTGAAGGCCTTGAAGCTGGACAAAGCCATATTAAGACTCTTACTAGTAGTGGGACTTTCCTCTCTGAGCCTCATTTTCCCAGTTTTTATGTGGGGAAAACAATGCCCTGGTAGACTGGACCCCCACACTTCTCAAAACTTTCCCTCCCACTATCATGGACCTCCAGGGACTCCAGGTGCCCCTGCTGGCCGCCTGCCCATCCCACACATCAGAATAAGGCTGCAGACTGTTTTTCTTCTAAGTGTCTGTGTGTCTGTTCTCCGCAGCCCAACTGAAGCTCCTGGGGCTGTCTCTCATACTTCTCCTCTGGCCCCCCAGCACCCCACATGGGGCCAGGCATGGAGCAGGCCCTTGGTGACGGGGGAATATTGGGAAAGAATGCGGATGCTTAGCCAGGCAGGCCTGAAATCTAATCCGTGCTCTGCCATTTCCTAGGTGTGTGATTTTACTTTTCTTGTCCACAGAATGAGGGTGATAATAGCACTGACCTCATCAGGTGGTTATGGGAATCTACTGAGGTAAAATATGGAAAGTGTTCAGTCTAGTCCATAGTAGGTGCTCGAGACAATAATAGCTGTTGTGTTTTTGTTGGGTGATTAATGTCATTTTATTCATTTGCCAACAGATATCTACGGGGTACTTACACTCTGAGGACCAGTCCACTGACTGCGTTCGCCATTGGGCCACAAGCGCCCTTATGGCAGCGACACTTCCTTCCTTGCCTGCTCCCTCACCAAACATTTATAGGTCACCTGCTGTGAGCTAGGCTCTGTGCTACCCCCGAGGCACGCCAAGGTGAAGAGGCCACCCAGAAGGAAGGCATAGTCTCACCCGTACTGGTCCCACTGCAGTGCTAATGTTGAGGACAAAGGAGAGGACCCAGGTTTTAGTGAGTCTCAGCCCAGGACTAGAAAGCATTTACTTCTTAATTCCAGCCTGGTAAGGTCAGTGAAGTGTCCTAGATGATGTCAGACACAGGGAGTGGGAAGACGGGCCTGGGTTTGAATCTTCACTGTGCTATGGCCTCCCAGCCTTGGCAACCAGAGCCGGAAGGGGCCTCAGGGCTCATCTCTCTCTCTCAGGACACAGGCTTGATCGAGGTCACAGTGAGATGTGAGGAGGCAGGGGGAGGCCCAGAGTTGTCTACAGATGGAAGGGAGCAGAAGGGGAGTTTGCATTGCCTTCCCTGCCTCTCCCCAGGTCGGCCTGCTCTGAGACCCCAGCATGTCCTGCTCACCTTGAACCTTGGCCAGACTCTATGGCCTCTGCCTCCCATCCTCAAATCCTTTTCATTCATTCAACAAATACCGGTTATCTACTATGTTCAGTTGCTTCTCCAGGCACTGGGATCAAGCAGTGACCAAAAGGTACAGAGGCCACCCCACATTTGACACTTAATACCTGCTCAGCCAAGAACTGCCACCTGCCCCCATTCCCGGCTCCCCGGAATACCAATTTTGTCAAATTTCTGGTAGGTTTTCAGCCCAGAGCACACAGTCTGGCCCTGACTTACACACTGTCTACATTGGTCACCGTTATTTCACCACCCATCTTGCCTCAGTAGGCCAGGAGCAGGGTGGAGGAGATGCAGGTTGGAGGCTGCCCACCCTGGGTCTCAGGGAGTCAGCCCTTCAGAGGCACCCTCTCTCTGAATCCTGGTGGCCATCCCTGGAGTTGGTCCTAGGATTGTCCCTCCTTTACAGGGAGGAGGACGTTGAGGCTAGGACAGGCGCTGGACCTTGCTGGGGATCTCAGCCAAAGTGGCAGGTCGCAGAGCTGGGTGTACTACCATGCCTCTGCTTGCTGAGCCCCCCACCAGCTCTGAAGTGGGCATGACACCACACTCAGAGCTTTCGGGGGGGCCGTCTGATGCATGATGGCACCCGGCAGGCCCTCGACACATAGGGTTGCCTTTCTTCTCCAAGGATAGCCTTGGCCCCTCGGGCATCTGTTAGCATGTTTGAGGCCATGACCCCAGCCAGGCAGTTCACGAGTGAGGGCACTGAACAAGCTACCGACCCCCAACCCGGGGGCTGCAAGAGAGGCCTACCCAGACTGGCTGCTGGCACTGCTGCCCCAGGAAGGCCGGCAGCTGGAGACGACAGTCAGCTCTTCTCGGGTCAGGGTCTACACCAAGTGCTACCATGCATTATGTCACTGCATCGTCGTGACAGCCCCATGAGGGAAGCACACGTGCTGGGCTCACTGCGGGGAAGGCCGCGTGGCTTGGAGGAGCACTGTCACTCGCCCAAGGCCACTCTTGCCCGTGCCTTCCCTCCTGCTCATCAACCCCTGGACCTTCGGAGAGCAGCACTTTGCCTTCGGGAGGGACACGGCCCTTCTCCTCTTGTTCAGTGGAGATAAATTAAGACTTTTCTGAGAGGAATCTTACTGGGGAAGAAAATAAAAAATACAAGAGTGAGGAGATGGATGAATGGAAAAAGCTCAGACTCTTCCGCCAACATGCCTGACATCTGCCTGGTGTGGCTGACCTAGGGTGTGGGTGCCTCGACTCAGCTCCAGGGAACTGGACACCTGACCAAGGCTGGAGCAGGTTCCAGCCACGCCTGGTAGGATGCTCAGGGTCTCCCCAAACCTGCTGAGCCAGAGCTGGGCCACTTCCTTGGGTTCTGCTGCCAACACGGGATGAAGGTACTTCTCAAAGGGGTCCCTCCCTGGCTTGGTACCAGCACTGCCCCATGCCTCCCCTTCTGTCCTCCTTTGAGTTCCTGCCCCAACTTGCTTTCTGTCATTAGATGACATCCGCTGACTGTGTCCTCCAGGCCAGGCTCTACCATGTGCTGGGAAACAGGTAGATGAGACATCATGTGTGCCTTGGAAGAGTTCAAGGTTTATGATGGGGGAATGGGATGGGAGAGAGGCAGGCATCACAGTTTGGTCTGAAAGACGTAATGAAAGCTGTATCAACACTAATGGTTTAGTGTGTGTGTGTGTGTGTGTGTGTGTAAAGTGGGGAGGAGGTAGAGAAATTGATAAGTCAAGTGGATTAAAACAAACTTGGGTGAATCCAGGTAGAGTATATGGGAATTCCTCAGGAAAAACTGAGCTCAGAGATACAGAGAACAGACTGGTGGTACCAGGGGTGTGGGGTTGGCAAAATTGGTGAAGGGGGTCAAAAGGTACAGATTACTGGTTATAGAGTAAACAAGTCATGAAGATGTGTATACAGCATGGTGACTATAATATTTATACAGTGTTAATACTGTATTGCATATTTGAAAGTTGCTAAGAGAGTAGATCTTTAAAGTTCTCATCAGAAGAAAAAATTTGTAACTATGTATGGTGATGGGTGTTAACTAGACTTGACTGTGGTGATCATTTTGTAATATATACAAATACTGAATCATTAGGTCATACCCTTGAAGCAAATACAATGCTGTATGTCATTTACGCCTCAATTAAAAAAAAAATTTGTTGATGGAACAAATCCATCACCTAGAGATGAAGAAAAAAAAGTGTGTCTGGGAATTCCTTGTACTATTTTTGCAACTTTTCTGTAAGTTTGAAATGATACCAAAACAAAAAATTACCAAAAGAAGGAAAAAATTGCAGCATAAAGAAAGAGCTTTGGAACCTGGAGGGAAAAGCAAGGAGCTGGGAAGACTGGCAGAGGGGGCCTGGGTATCTGGGCGGAAGGAAATAGCACGTGCAAGGCGTGGGGCGTGAATGGGCCCAGCACACGAAACCCTGCTGATCCATCCAACAATCCATCCGAAACACTGATGACTACTGTGTGGGGGCTTCCGGCATTTAGGACGGCCATTTGAGCCTAGTACCTGGGCCTCATCCAACAGGCAGCGCTGGGCCCTCAGCAGTGGCACCATCATCCTGGGAGATCCTCCACTTTGAAGCCACTCACTGGGTCTCTACTTCTTCTCTGCAGCAGCGACATTCAACAATGCCAAGTGCGATCGTGCCTTTTGGCCTCTGCCAGCTCCCAGGAGAATGGCTTCCAAATTTCTATCACAGTTGGTTTCGAACAACATCCAAATGGTTTGCCACAAGCCCAGCAGCCCTAGCCATCCGGGATCACAGGTGCCAAGACAAAGGTTGGCCCAGGCAATGCCTTCCTGCTACCTGAGCAAGGCAAAGGACATTGGTGGCTCAGGAGTGTCAGTTTCATGCTCAGGAAGTGGAGAAAGGCAGCTGGTTGACAGCACTTCCTCGAGGGCAGAGGCTTGACCCGGTGACCCCTCAGAGCGCCTTCCAGTTGCATGGAATGCTCTCTATGCCCTGGCCCACCTTCCTCTGGCTTAATGCCTTCTCATATTTCTGCTCTCAGTTGAAAGCCTGCCTCCTCAGGAAAGCTTTCTCAAGCACCCAGCCCTGGCCAGGGGAGGGGTGGGTCCACCCTTGTATTTCTCAAGGCTCCTGTGTCCCCTGCATCACAGAGGTAAGAGCAAGATCCCAGAGCTGGATTGTAGGGGTTCAAGTCCTGGCTCTGCCACTTCTAGCTCTTTGATCTTGGGCAAGTTATTTACCTCTATGTGCCTCAGTTTCTTCATTTGCAATATGGAAACCTATCTAAAAGGGTCCAAAGAGTTAATATTTACTTAAAACTGAACAGTGGCTGGTCCCTTGTTAGTGCTATTGGTGTGTAAGCTACTAGCCCTGCTGAGCTGTGGTTGACTTGCTTTGAGCCCAGGAAAATAGGAGCTTGATGTTGCTCTTCCTGGTCCTCAGGGCTGGCATAGTGAGGCTCTCAGTATGATTAGTCAAAGGCACAGATGAATGAGAAAAGCTTGCATACAAGAGACCAACTGCTAAGGCAAAAACAGCATGGGGCTAGGGATCTGGAGCCCCAGGTCTGAGTTCTCATTCTGCTGTTCACTCTCTGAGGAGCCCTGGGCAACTCTATCCTTTCCCCTGCTGGACCCTCGGTTCCTTCCTCTCTAAAATGGGGATGGAGCTCCAGGGCTGCAAACGCTGCACACTGTAGAGTGCAGCATGGCACCGAACAGCATCCCCTCTGCCCATCTGGATCGTGCCCATCCTGGAACCTCCATCTGCATCTGTGCTCTCACTCCAGCAGTGTGCTGTTTTAGATGGATAAATAACAGAATGGTTCAGCCACTTGCGAGTATGTGATTGCCCACCCAAGGAAGTGCTGGCTTCTTCTGGGGTCCGTGGACCTGGGGTCCACACCCTGGCACCACTGGCTCCCCCGGCTCCCCCCGTGAGCCCCTCCCTCACCTTGTGTCACCACCTTGCCGAAGACAGGCAAGGAGTCGAGTGTGGAGCAGTTCCAGCGCCGGTTCCGGAACTGGTACTGGCACTCCTCGATGGCGAGCTGGGCGCCACGGCGCACTGAGTCCATCACCTCCAGGTTCCGCTTGCACATCTGCACCTGCCTCTGGATCAGGCCCTTGAGCTTCTCGCATGTCTCCTCCTCTGAGATGCTCCCCACTGAAGACAACTTGGCCAGGTACCTAGGGAGAGGGTGGTGGGGTAGAATGTGATGCCAAGCTGCTTCCCTCCTTTTCCACTCGTAGGATGGAGCCATGCCCAGTGCACGCCTCTGGGAACTGACTTGTCCCAGTGATGGGTCCTGGCTGTTGACTTCTCTCTGGATCCAGTGACAGGCTCTCCTGTCTGGCTCTTGGGGCTGGAGGGAAATGCTGTCTTGCACAAGAAGGTCTCTTCCTTGAGTCATCCAAAGCAGGCAGAGCACTGGGAGGGAAGCTGACCAGCCCCTGTGGGATCCCTCCCTGCCCTGGGTGCCCCCTGCACCAGCATCCATGCCCCAGTGTTACCCCAGACCTGGCACCTGCTCTGCAACCCCTTCATGTAGAGATGCCTTCAGCTGGGAGGCTAGAGCCACTGTCTGCTCCAGTGTCTCTTTCCCCACCCCCAGGCAGGGGCGCTAGGGACCTAAGTCCACCTTTTGGCTGCAAGGCCAAGGTCTTCACTGATAGCCACATCCCAGGGCCCCCAGTTGGAGACCAGCATCAGCGCTGCAGCACAGGGGCAGGGGAGGGGCAGTGAGGGCACTGAAGGCAGGGGGCTGGGGCTGGGCAGCACGGGGCGGGGGTGGGGCAGCGACAGGGGGTAGCTTCAAAACCAAAGTGTGCCATGCTCCTGCCTCAGACCCCTGAGTTTTTACAGCCTGAAGATGGAGCAACAATGCTGGCTCCCTTTCACAGGGTTATGATGAGAATCACAGTCTAGCTGGGATAATTTATGTCAAGGTGCTCTGGACAGGCACAGATGGGGAGAAAGGGCTTCAATGCATCCATTTCAGTGAGGACAGGAGCAAGCACTACTGTTCACTGAACACCTACTGTGTGCCTGCTGCTGTGGCAGGCACTTCATCTTGGTGCATCCTTACTCCAAATCTATGAGGCGATCATTATGCTTCTCTTATGGATTCCAAAATGAAGGCTAAGAGGGTGACGTGCTCAAGGTGACACAGCAAGTGCCAGAGGTGAGCTTCAAGCCCCTTCAAACCCCATGGGCCTTCCTGTTGTCTGCTCTCCTTGGCAAGCTGAGGGGCCTGGGAAGGCTCTCCTCATCTAACCACAGGCACTTGTGGGCTGGGCCAGGAGGCAGGGGGGCCAGGAGCCAGACACAGAATGCTCACTGTGATGGGAGTGGAGCTGGGGAAAGTCACTGACAGGAGGAAGCATAAGTGTGTGTTAACTGAGCACCTACTAAACACCAGGTATGTATCAGAGAGGTGAAGGGACCAGCTCAAGGCCACCCAGCTTGTAAGGGCAGACCTGGATTGGAGCCTGGGTCTGGACGACCCCATGACTCATGCTCTACTGCCCCTCAGCCTGCCCCCTCCCCACCCTCTGGTCCCCATTGTAGGTGCACAAGTGGCAGCCTCATGGTGGGGAGGACAGCTGAGTGGTGACTCTGAAATGCCTCCCTTTCTTTCCCTGCCTCCCCTTCCCACCTTCTAGGTGGGAGATGCATCTGCTCACCTGTGGCTGCCTTCCAGGTTCCTGGAGGAGTGGCAGAGTGCACAGAATCATAGACTTAAAAGAATGTTCCCTGACAGGTGGTCTGGTCCAGATGCCTCATTTCATAGATGAGCACAGAGAGGTAGAGGGCCTGCCCACCAACTCCCAGGAGGAAACTCCCAGGAGGAAACTCAGCCCCTGCCTCTACCTCAGCCTCAGCCACGCAGATCAGGGGCACTGAATGGAAGAGTGTGTGTCCTGCTGCCCCCAACTCTACAGTGAACCAGTCTCCCCCTCCAGGGGCTTGGCCAGCCAACTGGGTCTCTGGGGGTGGGGGGGTTCTCTTGGTGGGTGGGAGGTGAAGATGCAGTTGTGTCCTATAAGAGAAGCTGCACAAATTTCTTGTCTGAAGAACGATTGAGGGGAAGGTACTGCTCTCTGGAACTCAGTGTGGTATCTGCAGATACCACTGGTTGTGGCTAAGTCAAGGGACTGTGTTGTCAGAAGCAAAAGGGATCCTGTGTGTGAAAGATGGTCTGACACGGGTCGTAAGGCAATGGGGCAGGAGCTTGACATATGTTGGCTGAAAGAAGGAGTGAAATGAATGAATGGTGCCCAAATATAAAAGTACACACAAAGCTGTATTGAAAGATGGGAAATTTTTATAACAGTGATAATAATAGCTACATTTTTTGGAACTTAGGACTGGGCTAAACACTTTACTTACACAGTTACATTCATCCTCTGGTGAGCCAGTGAACCCCCGTTTTACAGAGGAGGAAACAGAGGCATGGACAGGTTGAGCAGTTTGCCTTGTGGGCAAGGTGACATAGCTAATAAGAGGTGGCCCTAGCACTTGAACCTGGTTTTGCTTGACTTCAAAGCCTTTGGTAGAGACTATGTTTTTTTATGTTGCTCAAGGACTAGTACTGACACCAGTGGGCAGAAGCTACTGGGAGCTGGCTTTGTTCTACCTAAGGATGCCAGTTAAGGGGCAGCCGGTGGGCTGCCTGCTGGTCACTGAGCTGTGGTAGCATTCCCGGAGGTGTGCAAGCGGCATCTGGATTCTCTTTGTCAGGCGTGGGGTTTGGACCAGAGTGACAGTTTCCACTTCTGGCTGTGCATCACATTTGTGGGTTTGTTGAAAGCACGGGTGCTTGGGCCCCTAACCCATTCCCAGATTGCAGCTGTGATACTGTGCTGGGCACTGGCCTGGAGAGCACTTTAGGGGAACTCTTGGGTGATCTGACTCGGGGACCCACTCTCTGCCTCACTGGCCGGTGACAGGGCCTCCCTGAGTCTGGCTTTCTTTATCTAGAAATGGAGTAATGGTTCCGATCTGACAGCTGCGTGGGAAATGAAGGTGATTTGATGTGGCTGGTGTGTCTGACTCTCCTCTGGGCACATTGTAGGCATGCTGAGCGGGGTCTCTCCCTTCCCTGGCTGCATGCGCAAGAGGGAGTGGGTGGTCTTGGGCCGAGGCAGTCCCATCTCCCCTCAGTCTCCCTGCATTCCTGCGGCCTCCTGGTCTTCTCTCCCAGGTCCTGCCTAGGGGATGCAGGGAAACTGGCGTGTGTGGGCAGGAGCCCGAGCCTCTGGGGCAGGGGACGGGGAGACAAGGGCGGGAAGAGGGCTGGGGAGCAGGGGAGGGTGAATCTGGAAGGTGGGAGGGGAGGGGGCTGACTGGGCTCCTCAGCCCTGCCTGGGTGCAGGGGAAGGTTCCCCTGCGGAGCTAGTCCCACCTGGTGCTATTGGCCTGCAGGGGGAGCCAAGAGCCCAGCTCCTGGCCATGGGCCAGGTCCATGTTTGGGAGGCCCCGGGTGAGGGGACAGGAGTTGGGCCTCAAGTTGGATCTTTGCCTGCTCAGACCCAGGGTTGGCCTCTTTGGAAAGGGTGGGGGCCCATCTTCGCTCTGTGACCTGGGGGCAGAAAGCTGGCCTGTCCTCGTTGCAGCCTCTGCTCTCTCTCTACCCGGCCGTGGGGCCAGGTCCAGCTGTGCTGTGATCTGGCTTCTGGTGAGGGGAGGTGCTCAAGGGCAGGGGGAGCAGGCTGGAGAGGCCTGGCTGAGCCACCAGCCCACAGGGGGCCTTGGGCAAGTGTCTGCTGCACTCGGAGCCTGTTTCCTCTTGGGTTCAGAAAACTGCTCTTGAGTCTATGTGGCCTTTCAGTGTCAGAGTTGGCTGTCCTTTTTTTATAGACTGGGATTGGGGGGGCGGTCCAAGCCTCAAATGGAGCCCCTGCCATTGAATGAGGAATCAGAGGGACTGGAGGAGCCGCCCACTCCCTCTCCCCTAGGTTCAGAACTCAACAGGGGGGACAGGCTGAAATAACAGTAGTAGGGATTTAGGGGTGAGCTGCTGGGCTGCCATGGCCGTGAGTCACTGGGACAGCTTCCAGGAAGAAGCTGAGCGACCTTCTGCTGAGGAGCGTCCCTGCCCCCACGGCTGGCACCAATGCCCCATCCCCCCAGGCCCTGCCCTCACCTGGCCCAACAGCTGTCCCCTTCCATGCCACAGGAGGCATGGCCCACCCTGCCCTGGTTCTACCCCATCCTGGGGTCTTGCCTGGGAAGGGCTGGGTGCCTGAGCTGGGATGGGGTGGAGAGAGTTAGGAGCCCAGGCATTGCAGGCCCTTACCCACACCGCTTGCTCTTTCTGGTATCCAGTCAGGGTGCCTGGCCTCAATATACAGATGGGCAAACTGAGGCCAGAGAGGTGGAGCGACTTGTTCCAGATCACACAGGTCGTGAGTGGGAAAACTGGAATGCAAAACAGCTCTGCCTGGGAGCTCCTTTTCCCCTGCATTCTGGTTGTGGACCGGCCCTGTTTGCAGCTGTGGGGGATTGATGCCACCCTCCATGTCATGTCTAGCCTGTGGCCTCCTCAGTACCTAGGAGGTGTTCAATAAAAGTGTGAATGGAGGGCCTTGCCCTGACCAGGTCCCCTCTGCTCACCTCCTGGCTGAGTAGTCAGGTCGGGAAGAGCAGGGGGTGAGAGAGGAAAACAGGGACTGCCTTTGCCTTTCAGTCTGCCGAGGGCTTGGAGACCCTCAGCTGGTCCTGGGGGCCTCAGGAATCCTCTCCCTGCACCCTCAGGTGGCTCAACCTTTTCCCGAGAGATACGCTTGCCACTTGCTGACCCTGAAGCTGGGCCAGGCTCTGATGCTGACTGCATGAGCCATCTCTGGGGAAGACAGAGAGCCTGGCGTGATGAGTGTTGGCCGCTGCTGTCCGGGCAGGCCTGGGGAGGGCCTCCACCATCCCTGCTTCTCCCGTTGTTGCATTGCCCCAGTTAAGACTTCTTCCTGCCACTGCTGAGTACAGGCTTAGCAATTTGCCACCTGCTGCCCTGCCACCCAGGACTCCAGCCACAGCCGTGTCATCGATCAGGTTACCCCAGCAGCCCAGGCTACCCCGGCTGCTGCTGCCAGGCAGCTTGTGCCCCGACTTCTCAAGTGGGGGCTTCAGGCTCCTCCCAGGAGGCCCTCCCCATGCCCAGCCCGTGCTTGGAGCCTGCGAGGCTGGA